GGCCGGCAGGAAATACAAATCAAAAAGTCTAGGGGCAAGAGCACCGTCCGAAACTTACTAGCAATGGACGCAGAGAGTAAAAAGAGATATATGCAACATGCGCTGGCACTTGTAACGGCCTGATTTTTATGTTTGTGTATTTTCCATGTCGATATCAATATGAGCCTAACCGTACTTTGTTACTCCCATATCCACAGGCTGAGGAGGCGTATGAAAATCAAGAAGTGCCGGTTGGTTGCGTTTTTGTTTATAAAGAGGAGATTATTGGAAGTGGACGTAACAGAACGAACGAAACATTTAACGTAATTGATTTTCCGGTTAATAATATTTTGAAAAAATCGGTCCTTGTACTTATGATGATTTTACATAGGGTACTCGGCATGCAGAACTGGAAGCCATCGACGCTATTTTGTCAAACGATAAATATACCAAAGATGTGTTTAGAGAATGTGTGTTGTATGTCACTGTTGAACCATGCATAATGTGTGCATATGCCTTACGTCAATTGGGTGAGCGTCATAAACAAGATCACCTACTCATCAAGTACAACACACCATCTGCTCGCAAACCAGCTGCTGTCGTTGACCCAGCTGAGCCAGAAAAGGTTCAATCTGTTCTCGATGAACATGACGTAAATCTCAAACACCTGATTACCACTCACCACCATCGGGTGAATATTTCAAATCATTATATCCAACTTGCCAACCTATATCCCATATTAATTTGACAAACTTCACTCAAAATTCAGGATCATTCGAATGGGAACAAAGACTTTATCAGAAAATATCCGGGACTAAAAGTTTACGGCGGTGACAATCGAATCCCGGGAATGAACCACAAGGTTGAAGATGGAGAGGTGTTGAAGGTTGGAGATATATCCATAAAAGCCTTACACACCCCCGGTCATACTACTGGAAGTTTCAGTTTTTACTTGACAGATAAAGAGGAAAAAGCCGTGTTTACTGGTATATATAACGAACCATTTGCATGCAACAGCATCTCTTAATACTTTCTGCTCAAAATTCACCCGATATTTTCTTTTTACTCTAGGCGATGCACTCTTCATCGGTGGATGTGGTAAATTCTTTGAGGGTACCGCCGCCGATATGTATAATTCCTTAATCAAAACGCTGGGTTCACTGCCTCCAAGCACCAAGGTGTACTGTGGCCACGAATACACGGCTAACAATCTCAAGTTTGCTGCCACAGTCGACCCTCACAATCAGGTACTCGAGAACAAAATAAGCATTGTCTCAAACCAACAGTGCACGATTCCAAGCACAATCGGAGACGAATTAAAATTTAATCCGTTCATGAGAGTCCATGAAGAGGCAATTAAAAATGCTACGGGGAAAAGTGATCCAGTAGAGGTCATGGGCATTTTGAGGGAGATGAAAGATAATTTTTAGAATTATTCAAAGGCATGAGATTTGATGTAGAGTGAAGGATAATCACTAGCACTAAAAAAATTTTTTATTACGCGGACGCGTACCCCATTTATAACAAGTTGGTCTATAGCACAATGTCCAAACATCATTTTTTTTTTACTCGCTGCTGCATTCATCCTTAATTTCTACAAGTCGCACACACTTGCCAACTTGTAACACTACACTCCCTATCCAACCCAAACTCTCGCATTTCTAAACATTCTCACCCAGGGTCCTAATTCACCCCAATTCGCTTCACGTGGATACCATGAATTATTTTCCTTCATCAGTACTCTTTCTGGATGAGGCATCATTGCCAGGAATCTGCCATTTGGCGTCTGAACGCCAGTAATTCCGTGCGGGCTCCCATTAGGATTGAATGGGTATTGCTCAGTGGGATTTCCGTAATTGTCGACAAAGCGCAGAGAGATGAGATTGTTCGAAGAAAGACGGTCAAGTTGGGCGGGTGAAGAGAATTCTGCTCTTCCTTCACCGTGTGCGACTGAAATTGGAAGACGGGAGGAATACATTCCGGCAAAGAATATAGATGGTTGTGTTTGTGTGCTGTTACTAGTATCGATAGTGTTGTTCAACGCCTTTGTCTCTGGCGAACATATTTCGACCATTGTGAATCTCGCTTCATACTGTTCACTCTTGTTCCTCTTAAATTCGGGCCAATCTTCTGCACCAGGTATCAATTCTTTTAGTTGGCTCATAAACTGACATCCATTACATACTCCCAATCCGAACGTATCATCTCTATTAAAGAATTTAGAAAACTCGTTACGTGCATTGGAATGTAACAGAATGCTTTTAGCCCAACCGCTTCCGGCGCCCAATACGTCTCCGTATGAGAAGCCACCACATGCGGCTATGCCGTGGAAATCATCCAAAGATACTTTGCCGTTGAGAATGTCAGACATGTGGACATCCACTGCCGTAAAGCCCGATACGTAAAATGCATGTGCCATCTCCAAATGACCATTCACACCCTGTTCCCTGAGAATTGCTACTCGTGGCTTACGCGATGAGGGTGATGCAACAAGTGGGAGGGTAACGTCGTCTTTAGGATCGAATGTTAGATGATACTGAATGCCTGGATTCTCGTTATCGAGAAGGGAATCGTATTCTTCCTGAGCGCATTGGGCGTTGTCTCTGATGGATTGCATCAGAAAAGATGTCTCTGCCCACATGCGTTGTAATTGGGCTCTGGAAGATGTGTATAATGCAACATCTCCATTAGCGAATGTGATATTCTGCGTAGTGACATTGACAGTTCCAATGCGATGAATATGCGCTTTAGGAAATCCATTCTTTGTCAAAGTATCGACTACTTTACTCCAGTCGCTCTCTCTTATCTGTATGACAATGCCCAACTCTTCGTTGAATAAAGCTCTGATTATATCGCCATTGTGCGTTATAGATTGGATATCTACGTTGACACCAACACGGCCAGCAAATGCCATTTCGACAACAGTAGTAAATAATCCACCATCTGATCTATCATGATACGCGAGAATTATATCATCTCTAGTCTGTGCCTGATCGCGCAGCGTCTGCATACTGTTGAATGCTGATTTCAGCACGCGCGGCTCATCCACATCTGGTGCCTCGTTGCCAATTTGATTATACACTTGAGTAATAGCAGATCCGCCCATACGTTGCCTGCCACACGCGATATCTAATAACACTAACAGAGTATTATCAATGGATCTGAGTTGCGGTGTCAATGTCTTGTGAATGTCAATAACTGGAGCAACGGCTGTAATATTTAAGCTCAACGGAGCGACCACCTCGACGACCGTACTCCGAGTATGATTATCACTATTATTATTATCGTCAGCGTCATGACTATTGTTATCAACCCATCTCATCTTCATGGACATGGAATCCTTTCCGACAGGTATACTAATCCCCAAATCGGGACACAGTCCCATTCCGATTGCCTCTACCGCCGCATACAAGCCAGCGCCTTCTCCGTCATGATTAGCAGCACACATCCAATTAGCACTCAATTTTATATGAGATATATCACTTATATTTGCTGCTGCAATATTGGTAATGGCCTCACCGACTGCCATACGTGCGGATGCAGCCGGAGATATTAATGCAATTGGACTACGCTCGCCCATTGACATTGCTTCGCCTGTAATTGCATCCATGTCATATGATAACTTTGTCACGGCCACATCTGATACCGGTACCTGCCACGGTCCTACCATTTGATCACGAACTACTAACCCAGTGACACTACGATCACCAATGGTGATTAAGAAGGCTTTAGATCCGACTGTGGGTAATCTCAGTAAGCGGTTAGCAACATCGTCAAGGATCAATTGCGTATCGGTAAGACTACCCAAATATGTTCTCAGTGACGTGTCAAATTCAACGTATGACGGCTTGATTGTACTGGTATTCCTTGTCATCCTGGGCGGGTTACCAAACAGGACGTCCATTGACAAATCAATTGGAGTATTATTCAGCAATGAATCTACCAAGACCAGCTTCCGCTCTTCCGTAGCCACACCAATATCCGCATACAAGCATCTTTCTCTCTTGCATATACCCGCAAACAATGTAACATTTTTCTCCGCGACTGCCACGACGTATCTCTCCTGCGACTCGTTGCACCAAATCTCCATCGGAGACATACCCGAATCATCGTTGGGGATATCGCGTAACCTAACGCGACATCCTAATTCACTGTCATGAACCAGCTCGGGTATCGCGTTGGATAATCCGCCTGCTCCTACGTCATGAATGGACTGAATGGGATTATTGTCACCCAGTGCAGTACAAGTGTCAATCACTTGTTGACATCTCCGTTGCATCTCCGCGTTATCTCGCTGCACAGATGCGAAATCCAGGTGCACAGAGCTAGATCCGCTTGCCATCGATGACGCCGCACCGCCTCCAAGACCGATTAACATGGCTGGTCCGCCAATCACATAAATATGTGCACCGGGAGAAATGGGTTTTTTGTATACGTGCATGGGTCGAACAGTACCAACTCCACCGGCAATCATTATCGGTTTGTGATAGCCTCTGATGACTTTCTTATCATTGTCCGCATCCACGTTACTCGCGTTTTTATCGCTCGTTTCCCCCCTTTCGACATTCAGTTTGTTTACATTTTCCGCATAACTCCGGAAATATCCAACTATAGCTGGTCTCCCAAATTCGTTGTTAAACGCTGCACTTCCAATCGGCCCATCTAGCATAATGTCCAACGCAGACGCAACATGTGCAGGCTTTCCAAAATCAGTCTCCCATGGTCGAACATGGCCGGGTATTAACAAGTTACTCACGCTGAATCCGACGAGTCCTGCTTTAGGCTTGGATCCTTGTCCAACGGCCCCCTCATCTCTGATTTCTCCTCCTGATCCAGTGGCCGCGCCTGGAAATGGCGAGACTGGTGTTGGATGATTGTGGGTTTCAACCTTCATCACGATATGGACATCTTCCGGCACAAGCGTATAAGTCCAGTTGGAAGAACGGTCTGGTGTGAATAGTGTTGCCTTAAACCCCTGCACCACGGCTGCGTTATCAGAATACGCTGAAATCGTTCTCTCTGGGTGTAACTTGTGAGTATTTTTTATCATATCGAACAGTGATGACTTTTTTTTTATTCCATCAATGATCCATTCTGCCCTAAATATTTTGTGACGACAATGTTCCGAGTTGACCTGTGCAAACATGAATAATTCCACATCAGTTGGATTTCTCCTTAGCTCGCTATCGTTAACGAATGCAGCCACTAGGTAGTCTATCTCGTCATCGGCTAATGCAAGACCTAATTCTTTGTTACCGTTTGCTAACTTTTCTTTGGCTGACAGAATGTCCACGTTCTCTTCATTATCGGTGAATAGAGGAACAGTTTTCAATGGTGCCGGGTTTCCATGTCTGAATAGGATCTCTTCGTCCGGAACGTTGAAGAGAGGTATTTGAGTCATTCTGTCATAGAGCAGATGCGAAAGTAAGGGAAATTTTTGTTGAAATAAAGAAGATGAGATTGTCGCTGCCATCTCAAATAGGTATGCTGTTCCACGCTCTATGCGTTCTACGTGTGGTTTTAGATTACACACGTGCGCTATATTAGTTGCTTTGGAGCTCCATGGAGATATTGTTCCAGGACGCGGAACTATTAAAACAAATTTATCAGATCCTATCTCGTTTAAATTGTCTAAAATCTGAGAAAATGCCTCAGAACTTGCATTCGATTTTGAACCATATTTGAGTAAATTATCGAGAATGTTGCGTTCATTAGACGTTACATCGGATAAAAGCAATTGAGATGATTCGTTTCTTGGCTGGATAAAATGAACAAATATCGCAACGATTGCTTGTATTTCAGGAACGTGTTGTTGGACGCTCTTCAAAAGTGCCTTTGTTTTAAATGGCGAAAGAGCCGATGTTCCTGGGAGAACAAGCATTTTTGATGCGTTTTACATTGCCCCATTTATCGCGTGATTAATATTTTTTGATTAGATGCGTGCTGGCCAATCAAATCAAAAATGCCATATATGTACAATGACTCAAACGTACAAGAAAATTCAGAAACTCGCCTTACATCACAACATATCTATTTGATCAGTAGTATGTCTTTTTGTTGATATATTATCGTTATGTCCTAAAACATTGCCATTGCGAAAAGAGCGAATTGTCCAAATAATTGGGTAAATTCTGCTATTTTAATATGCTACTTTTAATATGCGATAATAGTATAGATTATATCGCAAAGTTTACCCCAGAATTAAAACCGAGTTATGGCCTTCAAGAATATATTTGCACAACTTAACTGTTTCTTATCCTCTAGAGTGTCATTGCCGCACGGCGTTACGGGGCTCCGGCGATTTTTCGTCCATAATACTCATTTCCCGTTGTCTTTTATATAAGCATTATCTAGATTTCAAACAAATACAGTAAAACGGATTATTAAACCCTATCCACCAACAAAATTTTAGTATCCTTTACACAATGCTTGCAATGGTATAAGAGTACTTACTTTCCATGACGAAAAATCAATTCCTACCCCACCAGTTGTTACTATTCGATAGTTCATATAGATAGTCGAAACCATCACGATTCCCGAATACATTACCTGCTTTTTTTTTGGTACGTATCAGATGTTCCGCACGCCATACCTGCTACCGTTTATCATCTGCGACGGTACAGATCAAACAAAATATCTAAAAAAAAAGTTACCCGGAGGGCTGCAGACGAAAAAACTTTCCCTCATACCAAATTTCATTTACGTGTAGTTTCTAGCAATATTGATTGTTACGTAGGGTGTCTGAAAAGTTTTGACAATATATTTTTATCTCAATGATCT